TGTTTTATCCTGCTAATCTGAAAAATACCTGTTGATGCATGCACTCTTGTTTTCTGCCAGCCAGCCAAGTTTCTATTCAGTAAACATTTATGTGGCACCATGTCAAATGCATTCTGGAAATCCAAGTGCAATACATCAACAGGCTCCCCCTTAAAAGTATGTACTCATCCTTCAAAGAACTCCAATAAATTGATTGAACTTAATTTCCCTTTAGAACGTGGAACAGTACAGCACAGGAGCAGGATCTTTAGCCCAGCTTGTCTGTGCTGACCATGATGCTGTTCTAAACTAATCTCCATCTGCCTGCACATGCCCTATATCCCTCTATTCTCTGCCTGTTCAAATGCCTCTTAAACTTTTCTCTCGTACCTGCTTAAACCACCTCTCCGGCAGCGCATTCTAGGCACTTACAGATAGTTCTATAACACAATAGTTGTGTTTTTGTGTGACATCAATCTATAGAAAATTGCGCCTCAGAAAATCACATTTATGGAGAAATCGCTATATTGTACAGTTGAAACTTGGTGTTATCCAAACAGTGTCCACTATTCATCAATCGCGTTACAGCCAAGTCACATTAATGAAACACACATTATAGCAGAAATACCTGTAATACTCTCTGTGCAAAAAATCTTTTCTTGCACATCTACTTTAAATTTTCCCCATATCACCTTAAACCTATTCCCCCTACTATTTGACATTTCCGCCCTAGAAAAGAGATTCCAACTATTCACCCTATCCATGTCTCTCATAATTTTATGTACTTCTATCAAGTTGTCCCTCAGTCTCCAAAGCTCTAGTGAAAATAATTCAAGTTTGTCCCAACCTTTCCTTATAGCTAATGTACTCCAAACCAGGCAACACGCTGGTAAACCTCTTCTGCACCCTGTCCAAAGCTTCCACTTCGTTGCTATATTGCAGCGACCAGAACTGTGCACAATACTCCAAATATGGCCTGATCAAAGTCTTGCAACATGACTTACCAACTTTTATATTCAGTGCCCTTACTGATGAAGGTAAACATGCCATACATCATCTTTCCACCTTATCCACTTGTGTTGTCACTTTCAGAGAGCTGTGGGCTTGGACCCGAAGATCCCTCTGTATAATAATGCTCCTAAAGGTCCTGCTGTTTACAGTGTAATTTCCTCTTGCATTTGACCTTCCAAAATGCAACACCTCTCACTTGTCTCAATTAAACTCCATCTGCCATTTCTCAGCCCAACTTTCCAGCTGATCTATATTCTGCTGCATCCTTTAATATTACTCCTCGCTATCCACAATTTCACCAATTTTTGTGTCATCTGCAAACTTACCAATCAGACCACTTATATTAATGATTTGGATGAAAATGTATTACAAACAACAGAGGTTCCAGTATTGATCCTTGCAGAACACCACTGGTCACAGACTGCCAGTCAGGGAAACAACCCTCCACAACCACCCTCTGTCTTCTATGGCTAGGCCAATTTTGTATCCAACTTGCGTATTCACCATAGGTTCCGTGCAGTTGGATCTTCTGGACCAGCCTACAATAAGGGACTTTGTCAAATGCTTTAGTAAAGTCCATGTAGACATCATCAATTGCCTTAGCCTCATCAATTGTCTTCATCACTTCCTCAAAAAATCTCAGGAGTCAAAAGACCATGCAAAATGCCGTGGCTGAGGTATTGACTGTGATGTGAGGAGGAAAGGACTTTCAGTGGAGATGGTTAGTTACAGTTTATTAAATTTATCTTTGGGTTGAGGGATTTTTCCTACAATAAGAGTAAATTTGGCTTACATTCCCTGGGGTATAGAAGAATTAGAGATGATTTCATTGAAACATACAGGATTCTGAAATGGCTTGACAGGGTACCTGCTGCAAGATTGTTTCCACTTGCTGTGGAATCTAAAATACCAGTCATAGACTCAGGATAAGGAGCTGATGAAATAGGACTAAGATCAGGAGAAATTTTCTCGTTCAAAGGGTTGTGAATGTCTAGAATACCTTACACCGGAAACAAGGCTCATATTTAAAAAAGAATTTTTCAACAGTATTAGATCCTAGAAATTTATCACTCTTGTGCAGTAAATTCCTTTATGTGATCGTGATGAATAAATATTATGTAAGTGTTTTCATATGAAACAGAATTACCTTGCTCTTGCAAGAATGAAGATGTATTTAGTGAAACTCTGTTGTGACAAGTAAAGCTGTTTAAAAGTAATTGATCAGAATTGTGTAGGTGGTAAAATTACTTTCTAACTGTTGTCTGAGCTATTCTGAAATATTCGCTGCTTATTTGTATTGAAAATGCATTGTCTTTCCAGGTGGATGTGGAAAATCTAATTTATGTTGAATTAACTGTTTTACTAAATTAAATGATTAAATATCTCTGAACCTTTTCCTAGGCCACAATGAAGTATCTTTGTGATGCTTTTTCGACATTAAAGGTGCTTTATAAAAATAATTTTAGTTGAGATAAGTACTTATTTATCTGACAAGTCATGTTGCAAGACTTTGATCAGGCCATATTTGGAGTATTGTGCACAGTTCTGGTTGTCGCAAAATAGCAACGATGTGGAAGCCTTGGACAGGGTGCAGAAGAGTGAAAAAAAATCTGGAATTAAAAGTCTAATAGTAACCATGAATGGACGTGGGAAGGCGATGGCCTAGTGGTATTATCATTGGACTGATAATCCAGATAATGTTCGGGGAACCTGGGTTTGAATCCCGCCATGGCAGATGGTGGAATTTGAATTCAATAAAAATTATCTGGAATTAAGAGTCTAATGATGACCATGAATCCATTATCAATTGTTGGAACAAACCCATCTGGTTCACTAATGTCCTTTAGGGAAGGAAACTGCCATTCTTACTTGGTCTGGCCTACATGTGATTCCAGACCCACAGCAATGTGGTTGACTCTTAATTGCCCTCTGGGCAATTACGGATTGGCAATAAATGCTGGCCTGGCTAGCAACACCCTCATCCCATGAGCAAATTAAAAAAGTGAAACTGTTGTGAATTGCTGGGGAAGAAACCTATCTGGTTCACTGAAGTCCTTTAGAGAAGGAAACTGCCATCTTTACTTGGTCTGGCCGATATGTGACTCCAGATCCACAGTAAAGACTCTTAACTATTAGCAGTGGGTAATAAATGCTGGCCCAGCCAGTGATGTTCGCATCATGAGAATGAATTTACAAAAAAAACTTGATGTCATTTTTTGAAAGGTTTTTATTTGTATATGCTCTTGCTTGATCTCTTCTTCATTTAAAAAAAACTAAACAGCAGTGGGCGTGCAGAGTTGTTTATGCTAAAGCTTTTTGAATGAATCTTTTATGACTAATTTTTATGTGGAGGAATGTGCAGTCTTCTGCTGCAATATTTTGTGAGTGTTTACTGTGTTGGCAGTCTACTTACAAAACTGGACTTATTTTGTTTTTGAACTTTTACTCCTTTATCCGATTTCACAACTCTTCTCCCGCTTCATCTACCCAAACCCTTCGCTATTTGGAGTGATTCACATAGAAATATGGAAAATAGGAGCAGGAGCAAGCTATTCAGCCCTTCAACTCTGCTTTGCCGTTCCATGTGATCATGGCTAATCATCCAGTTCAGTAGCCTGTCCCTGCTTTTTCTGCATACCCTTTGATCCCTTTAGCCCTCAGAACAATTTCTAACTCCTTGAAAATATTCAATCTTTTGGCCTTAACCACTTTCTGAGCAGAGAGATTCCACAGGGTCATTACTCTCTGGTTAAAACAATTTGTCTTTACCCCAGTCCTAAATGGCCTATCCCTATATCCTTAGTTTGTGACCTTTTGGTTCTGGACTCCCTAGTTGGTGGGAACACCCTTCCTGTGTTTACTCTGACTTAGTCCTGTTAGAATTTTGTAGGTTTCTATGAAATCACCCATTATGAAGGGCAATTTTAAGCCTACCTGTATTGGAATTAATTTAAATTTGGCCAAAAATTTACCTTCTCACACTGCTGTATTGCCACTTTCTAATATTCTGATCTACTCTGTTGTGAACTAAGGAAGAGTTCACTGATCTTCATTCCTGCAGACCAGTAAACATTTCCAAATTTCCTTTTATATTCGTCATGGAATGTGGGCATCACTAATTGCGCCAGTGACCATTGTCCATCCGTAATTTCCCTGAGAGAAGATGGAAGTATGCTTTATGGACTTAAAGTCCATAAAAGTGTTGGCCATGAAAGTCTTCAAGATATTAACAGGAAAAGATAGGGTCGCTATCATGTTTGGAGTTTCTAGAACCACGGGCCATAGTTTACAAATTTAGGGTCAGATCATTCATGAAAGATGTTTGGAAGCATTTCTACACACAAAGGTTGATAGAAGTTTGGGACTCTCTTTCACAAAAGGCAGTTGATGCTTAATCATTTGTTAGTTTTAAATCTGAGTTTTTTTTTGTTAAGTAAAAGTTTCAAGGAAAGTGGCCCAAAAGTAGGTATACAGAGTTAGGCCAGATATCAGCCATGACTCTATTGAATGGCAGAACAGGTTCATGGGGTTAAATATCATATTTGAGGTCCAGCATGTACTGAACCCCACTGATATAAAAATGGAAAGCAAGCCAGTTGACTCTCTTTATTTCAGGTTAAACTAGAAATCCGCATAACCAATAGAGGTCGGTTCTTACATTGCTGGCCAGAAATGAATGTTCCATTATGGATTTGTGGAAATCCCAAATTGCTTCTCAACAGGAAATTAATTAATATTTTCCTCACTTTGCTGGTTAGAATGGAGAAAAGATGCCTTTCACTGTTTGAAGGAGCTGTTTACTAATTTAAAGATGAAGAGAAGCCCATTGCTGCCCACTTGTGTATATAGCTTTCATCTGCTCATGTTCACTTAAACAAATAGGTTTATTTTCAACTGGAGAATGCTTTGTGTTTTCTATGTGTTGGGAAAGTAGGACTTTTGGAGTATTGCTTCATTCGAATATTTTCTTACTCTAATTTATTTGACATATTTTGCCATTTTTTTTCTAGACATTTTTAGATATGACTTTTGGGGCTGGAGGCCACACAAAAATGATCCTTTCCCAAGCTTCTGACATCTCGGTGTTTGCCTTGGACAGAGATCCAATAGCACATGAAATTGCAAAACAGGTTTCCCAGATGTATCAGTAAGTAACATTGTTGTTTAATATTAAAATTTTAAGACCTATATAAATTTGCCGATACATTCTAACAGTGAGAATCAGTTTTGCTAAATTTACTAGGATTTTTTAGAAAAATGCAGGATTAAAATGGCCTTTTAATGAATTGCTTCATGATGTTTCCAACTAAAGTTATTACTGGACAAATCGGATTTCAGAATGAAATCGGGCATGATGGATTTTCTTTTGCTGGTTTGAAACAAAGTGATCTCACACTGAAACATAAGCATACAATATTGCAGATGATGATGAAACAAAAGTTTGTTACGTAGAATAAATTAAGATAAAATGGAATAAATTAAACAAATTTAAAGATTTTGAAATGCATTAAAATATCATTCCATTAATTCCAAAGACAGTGCTTCACAGACTTCAAAAACACTACGTTTTCCAAAAATACTTTTTATAATGCTCTATCACCTCTATAGCCTTAATTTAATTGTGACTTCAATTTTCAGACTGAAGAATCTGATTGCTTCTTTCTGGAGCATTTATACAGCTTCAACTAACTCTGTCAGGGTTTTATCCAAATACTTCTGGTCTGGAAGCATTGCGAAGTTCCTTATCTAAGGTGATCTATTTTTACCAAATCTAAATGATCTTCACCTTTTCCCAGGAGCAACTGCTTTAAACATCCAAATTCAGCTGAGCCTTCTGCAGAACTGCTTCAAACTGAAACTAAAATTTAAAGGTTCAGGCTGTATGGTGTTTACCCCAAGCTTTAAAAAAGCTGCATCCAAACGCTTCCATCAGAAAGCCTAATGTATTACATTGTCTGTTTTGTTTGCTTGTAAATTCTTCCAATGTATCCAAAACCCATTAGTTCTTGGAGGCTATCTCTCTCAAACTGCTCTGAAAGAAATCACATTTGGCTATAGAAAACTTAGAAGTTAACCATTAAACCCCTTAAGACACACAAAACCCCATATGCTACTAGTTCAAAAATCAAAAATCCAAACTCAAAAATAAATGATATTAAAATTTATATAAATCACACACCCACCATCACAAGGAGCAATAAGTGAAGTTTGTTTGATGATTCTAAGTGTAAAGCGCTAGAGAAAAATGGAATCCAGGAGCATTGTGACAAGTTATAATACTAACTAATCCTACAAATGTGGTGGTTTTGAAGCTTACAATAGTTTTTGATGCTTATTTATTTTAAGATCTTTCTTTGATTGTTATGGCGTTTTATGTGTACTGCATTACTTCAGCACTTTCCCAGTGAATTGTCATGTGGTCTTTTACCACTTTTACAAGAATAAACCATAAATTTGTTTTATTTAATGAAAATAGTGTGAGGTTACATGTTGTGTTGGCGACTAGATGTTATCCTACTCTGCTGTAGCTTGTTCAGCTTTTTTGAAGGCCTTGATGATTCAGTCTCTATCGTAAACATTGAGAACTCTTCTTTGAAAACAGTTTTGCACACCAGGCGACCTCTTAACAACTACTCACCCTCCTAGCCAGATCATTATCAACTCCTTTGTCTATCCAACTGCTCTTCTTTCTCTTCGGGCACAATCCTATCATTTACTCCCTATCCCATCCCCCTCCCTATTTCTGCATATAAACCGATGTTTCCCCAGCTAGTATCAGTTCTGAGGATGGTTCACCAGACCGAAATGTTAACTCTGATTTTCTGTTCCAGATGCTGCCAGACCTGCTGAGCTTTTCCAGCAACTTCTGCCTTTTTTCCTGATTTACTGCATCCGCAGTTCTTTTGGTTTTTATTTAACCTTTCCTATGTGTCACCATTCCAAAGCTTGTATAGTCTGAGTGTAAATGTTAATTTCTTCAGACTATAAATTCAGTACTGCCAGTCAAAACTTTAAACTCTGGTAGTGTAGATTTGGACTCAAAACTTCCTGATCAAAAGGGTACGTAATTATGCATGAGCATGTGCCAATATTATCCATCCCTGTTATCAGAAGCAAAGCAGTACTTGACATGTTTGAAATTTAATTTAAATCTGGTTCCTCTTGGAGGTAGGAACCAATGCTTGTGCAACATGCTAGATTTGCTGATGTACCAGCATTTTTTTCTTTGATTCTGGCATATTTGGAACAATGGTGTATAGAATACAAGAAGTCAATAAACAGAGATGTCATTTTAACAGAACTAATTGCTTGCTGGATATATGTGCTGCTTTTCATGGTCACAACAAAGGTCCTAGTCTTCATTGCACTAAGTGATCTGATGCAGGATTAACTACAGCAATAGTGGCTTGGCTTAAAGTGACATCACAGCACGATAAGTCACTTGGGACACATGTAAATTTTCACTTAAGTTAAATTAATCATCTGTAAGGTTAATACAAAGTGAATTAATTAGGATAAAAAAGTAAAGTCAATTTTATTATTCATTATATAGTTACAATGTTAAAGTAATTACTTAGATCTAAGGGGATAATGTTTAAATTGCAAAACAAGAGATAACACTAAAGCATTTCATATTTTCAGTAAGTAAAAATCTGAAGGAATTAAGTAAGAGAATTTTAATTTATTCTCCACAACGCTCCCCTTAAGATAAGGTGATATTGGCTCAAAGGAAGCAACCCATTGATGAGTAGCTCGTTAGTCTTTTTATTTCTTTAGCTTTAATTTTATTTCTTTTAAGTCAATTATTAGACTAATTATCAAGGGCTTGATGGGACACCTCACTTTTGAAGAGAATACCTTGCATCATGTGGGAGCTCCAGGCCACTTCACTTCCCCGACAGTCACATGTGTAGAAGTGTTGTCAGCTGGAGGAGCATGAATCACAGATTTTGTGGCTTGAGTAGCTGGCAGTCCACCTGTAAAGCTGTGAGTTTATTAGATAGCATGTTTCTAGAATTGGTTATCCTGTAGCTCAACGATGTAGGGAGTGGATGACTGTCTGACAGTCAATGTAGACAAGGCACGAATCCCCTGAGTGCATCACTTTACAATCCATATTCAGCTTAAAATACTGATAAGAGTAAGAGTTCAACTGGGGAGTCCTGCCATCTCGGGAATCAGTCTGGTAACTATTCTTTGCACTCCCTCATCCACAAAGGATACCAAAACCGCTCACAATACTGCAGGTGTGGTTTTTTCAAGGCCCTGAACGTTTGCAGCAAGGCATCCCTTCTGTACTCAAATCCGCTCACTATGAAGGCAAACATATAATTTGCCTTCATCACCTCCTGCTGCACCTGCATCCTTAATTTCAGTGGCTGGTGTACAATGAAACCCAGGTCCCTTGCTCCTCCCATTTCCAAGTCATTTGCGCATGTGAGGTTTTTGGTCTCTATGACACCAATTGAATTCTGTTTCTGTAAATATATTTTTTGACTCAGATTTGTTTCTTCCTGTCAACCCCTGAACTCCTGCTGATGGTGTAATGTTGGTGAGTGGTGGTTAATTGTTCTGGAAATCCAGAGGAAGGGAATCCAGAAGACAAAAGGAACAGCAAAGTCTTTCAACAGTTGCAAGACTTGAGGAGTGAAATCTGAGTCAGTTGATTAAGTGACACAAAGTTTATTTTGTGAATAGAGTAGTTAAACTGTTGTCCACATTTTCATGTGCTGAGCTCCTGTTCTAAGTTTCAGGTGATGTGCGTTTGATTACAACAATGTGATTCTGTATGTCCTTGTGCTGTACTCCACATATCTGTGGCATTGTCCATAAACGTAGCCTCAAAAATAGGGTTGTGGAGGAAAAATGTTAGAAAAGTTGTTCTTCTTATTACTCCTTTTTTTGACTTGAAAGTACTAAATATTTTGCTGTGCAGCTCCAACGGCTGAAATAACTTATGGCTAAGGCACTACAAATGTAATGTCACTGGATCAGTAATCCAAGTTAATGCTCTAGTGATGCAGAATTTAAATTCAGTCTGATGCTTATTTATTTTAAGATCTTTCTTTGATTGTTATGGCGTTTTATGTGTATTGAATTACTTCAGCACTTTCCCAGTGAATTGTCATGTGGTCTTTTACCAACTTTTACAATCTGGAATTAGAAACTATTCCATTAGTGTTCTAGAGTTCTAACAGCATGGAAGGAGGCACTTCGCTCCATTGAGTTTACATTGGTCACCAAACGTCCATCAAAAATTCAGTACTTGGCTTGTTGCCTTGTATGCAATGGAGTTTCAAGTACGCATCTAAATATTTGTCAAATGGTTTGAGAGTTCCCTCCTCTACCTCCCTTTTAGGTATGAGTTCCAGATAACTACTACCCTGTGGGTGAAACAATTCTTCCTCAAATCCCTCTAAACCGCCCTCTGCTTACTTAAAAATAGTGCCACCTTGATTATTGACCCTTCTACAGAGGGGAAAAAACTTTCTCCCTATCTGCCTTGCCAGTGCCCTTCATAACTTTATACACCTCAATCCTCCTTTGGACTTGTCTGCTGTAAGGATATTGATAACGGTCATCATGAGGGTTTCAAAAATTCATCTGGTTCACTACGATATATTAGGGAGGGAAATTTGCCATCCATCTGCTTTCTGCCCCCCTGGTCAGGTGTATATGTAACTCAATTCCACAACTAAATCTTAACTGCCTTCTGAAATTGTGTAGCAAGTCACTCAGTTCAAGGGCAATTAGGAATGGCCACAAAGTTCTGTTCTCGCCAGTGATGTCCACATCCCATAAGAGAACAAATTAAAAGCACAAAGGAAATTTGCAGAAAATGGTATATCGATTGATAAATTAATTTGAATTGACTCCTGACTGTTTTTGTATTACATAGTCAAAAAACTTTTAATTTGTTTTGTAATGGTACCATTGCACCATGTTATTTTTATTTTGGCTTCTGTTATTCAATCAGAGTAAAGCTTCTTTGTGCTTTATCTGTTCTTATTTAAAGCTTCAAATACATTGTCAGCACTTAAACCCGCAGTTACTGTGTGCAAAATGGACCCAGTTGATCCACCGGGAGTTTTACTGATCTGTGCAGGGAAACTGTCCTAAGCTGCATTCAGCAGAAGGTCACTGATG